TTACATATTGTTTAGAACATACCCATTTAGATTATTTTATTCTGATTCTATGGAGGCTTTAAGCCAGTTTTGGGTTGAATTGTGTGCTCCCCACCCTCATGCATACATTGAAGCCCTAACTCCCAGCAGTGATCTTGTTTGGGAAAAGGGTCATTGCAGATGTAATAAGTTAAGATGAGGTCATACTAGAGTAGGGTGAATCTCTGGTCCAATATGACCGATGTCTTTATAAAAAGGGAAATTTGGACAAAGACACACACACAGGGAGAGTACCATGTGAACTTGAAGGCAGATCAGAATGATGCATCTTCAAGCCAGGGAACACTGAAGATTGCCAGGAAACCAACAAAAGAAGCTAGATGAGAGACATGGAACAGATTCTCTCTCACAGGTTTCAGAAGGAGACAGCTCTGCTAACACCTTGATCTTAGATTTCTAGTCTCCAGAACTGTGAGACAATATGTTTCTGTTTAAGGCATCTAGTTTGTGGTGCTTTGGTTAAGGCAGCCCTAGAAAGCTAATACATTTTTCACTGTCTTTGAGCTTTAAACTCTGTGACTTGTAGGTAATTGATAAAAATGCAAAATATGGATATGATAATTGATTATCTGAGAAATAATTGATAAAATCCCAAGGAAAAAAATATAAAATAATTCTTGCCTGTAGATAGGCAGATTTTGTCTTGTCCACATAGAGGTTTCATTGGCTTCCTTCCCCTTGTGAAAAAAACCAGTTTTGTTTCTATTTGCACATTCATTTTAATAGTCTTCATCTTTAAATGTGTTTCTGCTTTGGTTTGTTTTTCAAACTGGGTGTAACATCTAGTTCCCCCATTTGATAACAAGTTAAATACAACCTTTAACATGTGTTTATTTTATTTCCGTAGGAGAGTCATGTTTTTACATTTTGGGGGCGGGGCAAGGGAAATTATCTTTTAACAGTTTCTTATTATCAATTAGTTCTTTAATGTGTTTATTTTGTACATGTCTTTGTTTACAATTTTTTTCTTTTCTGCTTTTGATGATAATATCCCAGTGGATCAGAAACAGACAGATCTATGCCATATTGAGAAAGAGTAGTCTGTGGGACACAATAGCTTATATAAAGTACTCGGAAGGCTGTCACTCAAAGGAGGAGCAGTCATTCTGTTTCCTTTAGCAGCTGTTAGTTATAGGGGGACAAGTTTTGGCTCTGAAGGAAGATGAACTTGCTAGTCATCAGATCTGTCCAAAGACAAAATGGGCTGCCTTGGGAAGTAGTGAGTTTCTGTGGTTGGGTTGTGCAAGGAGCTTTGGATGTCCTTGTGGTGGGACGTTATATCATGGTTTAAGGATAAAGAGATGGCTGGAAGTTTTATTCACGAGGATCAGTAATTCAGTATATAAAGACAGACATTAACATCCTCTTGCCCACCTCTTCCTTGCTCCCATCTCTAGCTCTCTCTTGCCTTAGCTAACAAAATTCCAAATCCTTCTCCCTTCTTCTCTAGTTCTGTTTCCAGATTCTCAGTCATTCTGTCAATCTCCCCTTCAATCTTGAGGTGTCTCTCTTCAGGGAGAGGTCCTGTTTTTCTCTTCATTAGCTTAACTTCACCTGGCTGCCCGCCAGATGAAGGTAGGATGGGACATTTAGAGTCTTTGTCCTCCGGGTCTGGACCTGGGAGCTTCTAGTACACAGGTTGTGTTTGACAAAGATGTCAAGATGTCACCGGTAAGTGGCTGAGAGACATCGTGGTTGGGGTGTTACTGCCTGTCACACTGTCTGGGGCTGCAATCTAGCAAAACTCAGAGGATATAATTAATGCCATATGCGTATTATCTAATGGCATCATAAATCTGCCTGGGATGGCTTCTTATGGGTATTTTCTGACTCTCGGTGCTAAGCTTCATGAATTCCCATCACTGCTTTCCAGGCATGTCATCATTTTGCAGGTTATAATTTGCAAAACGAGAGAGACACCTATTAGCATGGAGCCAGTTAAGGTTACACCAGCGACTTCATTATATACCACACATCTTGCAGGTTTGTAATTATGCAGTTAAAAAAAAATTGCCAAAGGCAGTCATTTGACATAGATATATAGTTCCAGTCTGCAAGAATTATTGATATAATTTTGTTTTGCCATCTTTTATTAAAAAACAGTAGATTAAAAAATTCAGTGAGCCTTGTGTACATGGAAAAGCCAATGTAGTTTCAATGCCTGAACTTTATAGGTGTAAGATTGTATCTTGGATCATAAAAAATATTAATTTGCTGCACTTGCTGCAAAGGAAGTAGAACCCTCTGTTCATTTATTTTTGGAGATCTTATTCTTCTAGGATGCTGGGGCTATATAGATTGTGTTGTAGACTCAAAAGGTGATGGTGAGATATGAACTTGACCAGGGGTAGGCAGCTGGTTTTGAGTCCTCATTGGGGGCAAGAGTGAGATCCTGTTACCTAAATCCTGGCTCGTAAGCTTGAGTCAAGCAGTACAATGCTGCAGGACCTCAGATCACCATCGAATCAACCTGGAAGACAGGTAACCAGCAAGTCCACCGGCAGCAGACCACCTTTCCTCCTCAGGAAGATCTCCTTTCACTTCACTTCCCCTGAGAAGACCCACCTCACCAGCCGGGAGTCTGTGGCCACTGTCAGCCCAGCGGAGCTCAGTGACCAGTGGGGGAGTCTGCCATCGAGTCTCGAGGACCAAAATTCCCACCTCTCTCTTTCCTCTAACTCCTTTCTAGAAACTCATGTCTATCAAGTCCTAGTCTCTGGAGGTCCTCCCTTGATTTACAATTTATTTCATCATGGCTCATTACACCTCAGCTACAATTAGGAAAGTTGTGTGGAGGTTTCTTCTCTCAGGAGATGGGTGTAGTAAGTCTTTTCATGTGACTCCTGGCTTATCCATCAACTCCAGCAAAATCGCTGGCTCAAAGGGTATTTACACTTGAAAACTCTTCTTTTTCTTTCTTTTTAAAATTAATGTGTAACTTCATAAGTTACGTATACCAAAAAGAATAATTTTCATCCCTTATGAAGACCTAAAAATAAAATATTATGTCTCTTTTTTTTCCTCTTGCAATTTAAGCCTATATTTATCCCCTCAGGAACCATGATTCTGAAAAGCTCAGGGTAAATGGAATTCTCCTAAATGATGTCTTATTTCACCACTAGAGTACATGATCATCTCTGAACTTAGATTTTAGCCTAATTTCTCTCTGATAGTCATTTATCGAGAGCTCTTAATCTGGTCCCAGGTTTCACTGTCAAGTAGTTAACAATCTGCAAACCAGCTCTTAAATTTACTAAATACTTGAAATTTCTCATGTTAAAACATTTTAAAGCAAAGAAGTGTTCTCTAATGCAACAGTTCCTATCCAATTTCTATTTGATAAACTCAGATGTATGTTTCTCACATGCTCTTTAAGTGGATATGTAAACAACTGGGTGCCAGGAAACCTGGGTTTTAGGCCTGACTTTGCTGCTAACTTGAAATAGAATCAATATCTGCAGATATTTGACATATGTTTTGCTACTCTTGCTCCTTGTCCGTGGCAGACGTTACTAATAGATCAAGATAAGATTTCTAGCAGAGTGTAGAGACAGCCTCAGAATTCTTCTCAAGGTATCTCTCTAGGTGGCCCCTGCTAACTGATGAAGGTTACTAGAGATGAAAACTGTTTGCCACTCTAGGGCAAAGCAATTCTTTCCTGTCCAAAATTCTATTGTTGTTTATATGTGTAATCAATGTACATTGTTTTGGTTTTTGTTTTTGAAAAAGATAAAATAATAGAATAATACCATTTCCTTCCATCTGAAGAACTCAGAATTTCTAAGAGTCACAATTCTGATAGGGTCTTTGTGGGATGTGCTGGAACCTCAGGAACTTGGATCCTAGGGAAGGGCAGAAAGTTAGGGCTGAATAAGACACTGGCCGAAGCAGTCTTCCAGCAGACCTGCTGACCCAGGGACTCGGTGGGAGACCCTCCTGTCTGCAACCCTGAAGATTCTGAAAGGACCTGATACTCAATTCCAACCCCTCCCAGCGACAGTCCATGAGCAGTCCTGCTGGTGCAGAGGGAGACTCTCCTGTCTGAGCCTCAGGAGATTCTGAAAGGACCTAAAATCAGCTCTCACCCTTGCAGCCACAGTCAGGGAGCAGTCCAGCCTGCTCAGGAACCTGGTGGGAGACTTGCCCATCTGTGCCTCCAAAGCCAGGTCTGTATACTTCATTCATGACTGTGGACCCTGAAACGGCCCTGGTACATAGTTCCAGTCCCTCTCAGCCACAGTCCAGGGCTATTCCTGCCCACTCAGGGACCTGCTCAGTGACCTGGCAGGAGCCCTCCCAGGGATCTGGTGGGAGTCATACTTGTTCATGTACTTGGTAATAAGTGAGTTGTCTGAGAACCCAACTGTGGACCCTGAAGTGGACCCTTATTCCAGAACTCCCCTACTGAGCAAGGTACTGGAGCCAGTGCCATCCACCCTAGACCAGGCAGGATTCATGCCTAGCTGAACCTTTGGTAAAAAGCCTGCCAACTGCAGATCCCACTGAAGACCCAGCAACAGCCTCATAACTCGGACCCAGTGCAGCATGATGGTAATTCCAGAGCTAATCCCATCAGCCTGGGGAACCGACAGGAGGTCTTTACATGTCAAAACTACTCTGTAAAGACTGGAGAGGTGTTTGCTCCTTCAAACGCATGGACACCAAAACAAGGCTACATGGATCATGAAGAATCAGGACAATGTGGCACCATCAAAGGAGACTAATAAAAAGGAAAACCCAGACATAAATCTGTGGATATAGTATTAACTAATATTTGACAAAGAAGCCAAAATTATTCAATGAGAAAATAGTCTCTTCAATAGATGGTGTTGGGAAAACTGGACATTGACATGCAAAAGAATAAAATTATACCTCTATCTTACTCCACTTCCAATAATTGACTTGAAATGGATTAAAAACTTAACATAACTGAAATTATATAACTCTTAGAAAAAAACACAGGGAAAAACTACTTGACATTGGTCTCAGCAATGATTTTTGAACTACGACACCAGAAGCACAAGCAACAAAAGCAACAACAAACAAGTGGGTTTATGTATATATATAAAACTTTTGCACAGCAAAAGAAACAATCAGAAAAATTAAAAGGCAACTTATGGAATGAGAAAATATTTGCAATTCACCTATCCAAATATATATGGAACTCATACAACTCAATAGCAAAAAGCCAAATAATCCAATTAAAAATGGGCAAAAGAAAAAAATGGGTAAATGACCCAAAGAGACATTTTTCCAAAAAGATATACAAATGGCCAATCGACACACGAAAAGGTGCTCAACATCACTAACCATCAGAGAAATGCAAATCAAAACCTCATGCTTGTTAGGATGGCTATTATCAAAAAAGGCAAGAGATAAGTGTTGGCAAAGATGTGGAGAAAGTGGAACCCTTGTACACTGTTGGTGGGAATGTAAATGGGTGTAGCCGCTATGGATACCAATATGGAGGTTTCTCAAAAAATTAAAACTAAAACACTCATATGATACACCAATTCCACTTCTGGATATATAGCCAAAGGAAATGAAGTCACTAAATCAAGGAGATATCTATGCCCCTATGTTTATTGCAGCATTATTTGCATAGCCAAGACATGGAAAAACTTAAGTGTTTGTTGATGGATAAGTAGAAA